AGCAGAAATCCGAACTTGTTTCCTTTAGAAATTGCTCTACAAAGGCCTTTTTTTGCCCTTTAGGAAAATAGCTGTCGTATTCCTTGTTACTCTGAATTAAAGAAACAAGTAACCTAAAATAAAAAAGGGAGAATGAAACATCAGATTAAGTTAACAATTGGTACCATATAGAGTTATCGTTTATAAAAAAAAAAGATATATTTTACCTTTTTTTATTTTAAAAATCATAAATCATTTTTCTGAATATATAAAGCTTCGAATAAAAATTATTATAACAGAGCTATGATTTAAAATACTTAGCTTTGTTTAATATAAAATATATTCATATTCTGGGGATCTTATCTAAGATGATAACCCATGGTTCCAGATGATTGCAGTCATCTCTAGAGGTGATTTAGAAAAACGTTTAGAAAGGTGAAGTTCAGTACCGGAATTTATGTACGTTAACGAAGACAGTGGTCACTTTCACAGGGGCTCTTCGTCGTCACAAAAGTTTCATTACAGATCATCTGATTGGCATATAGAGGGGCGCATTTACCTCTTTGCCTCGGGTGGAAAATTATCTAAGCACAGCTCTCTAGACATAGGATCCTCTCTCCAAAATTATTTCGTCTGTTTTGCGAAAGTAAAGATAAGCTTTTGATATTTTTACTGAACATGCATTCATGAAATATATTATTTAGCTTTCGAATATATTCACAAATAATATTTAATCCATTAGATTTGATCAAGTCCATACTTCAACGCTTTTCGGGTTTCGGTTATATACAATGCAATGCTTCTGTATTAGTCGAAAGGAAAAAACTATAATACCAAAAATTGAGTATTGTTCCAGCGGAGCTGTTCCACTAAGCGGGAACTTATAACTATCTTCTTTGGCTTGAGAATGGAATGCTTAGTTTTCCTCAGCGCGGGAAGCCTAACTGTTAAATATTCTACCGAAAGGGAATGCAGAATATTTACTTCATTTAAACAATGATGCAAAGGCAATTAATTAAATTTTGAAAAAAAAAGGAAAATCTTAACCTCCAAATATTACTGCAAGTTAATTATATTACTCTACAATAATTACTTCAAAAATTTATTTCCTGTCTTCTTAAACTTGATTAGTTAATTAATGAGTTGTATGTATCCTCTAGTTAGTACAATAAATCTTGGTGTTTTCAGAATGAGACAAAAAATAAATAAATAAACAAATAAAAGAAAGAATCGATTTTCAAAGGTAGCAGCCACATGGGAGATACTTGCGCATGCTCATAAACCCTGTTGAGAGTACCGCGTTCTGCAGTTGATAGATATGATTATTTTTTAGTAAACGTCGTTTTCAATTTAAAATGAATGTTTTCGGCATGAAACATACTGCAGTAACACTAGTGACTTATGACAAAACACTCAAGGGTTAACTCAAATTTTAGAATTGACATGATATTTCATTTCATAAAATGGAAATAAAAAGGCCAAATATTGAAACAAGCAACACAAAAATACGAGTTCAAAAGTTTAAATTATTTATAATGGTATTGGTTGCTAGAAATGCTACTTAAAGGAGGAGCAGGCTGTTGAGTGATTAGAACAAAGCATGTTAAAGATCTCTCTACGTTTGGAAAAGTGTCTTCGTTTGGGCAGGGAGACTTTTTAAGTAAATAAGGTTTATATTAACGCTATACAAAGCTAAAACAGACAAAATCCCATGTAGCTAGTGTCAGGCAACGGCCGAGCAGTAAAATCGCTGAAATCTGGTATTTCGACCCCGGCTCAAATCTCGGCGAAAGGGCTGGCTGAAGGGAGCTCTCGTGGTTTTCTTCACGTGTAAGGCGGATACGAATCAGTCCTCTCCTCTTAGGCAGACAGCTCTCGAGGGCTTTGCCACAATTTTAAAAAAATCTAGTCTAATCTCATGCAGCCAGCCCGTTTCGCTGGAAGACGGGAGTCTAGGGATTTAAAAGGGGGTGAGGAGAAAAGCGTGTTTATTTTCGCTGGGAGACGGGAGTCTAGAGATTTAAAAGGGGGTGAGGAGAAAAGCGTGTTTATTTTCACTGGGAGACGGGAGTCTAGGGATATAAAAGGGAGTGAGGAGAAAAGTGTGTTTATTTTCGCTGGGAGACGGAAGTCTAGAGATTTAAAAGGGGGTGAGGAGAAAAGCGTGTTTATTTTCGCTGGGAGACGGGAGTCTAGAGATTTAAAAGGGGGTGTGGAGAAAAGCGTTTCGCTTTTAAAAGGGGTGAGGAGAAAGCGTGTTTATTTACTGGGAGAGACTAGGATATAAAAGGGGTGAGGAGAAAAGCGTGTTTATTTTCGCTGGGAGACGGGAGTCTAGAGATTTAAAAGGGGGTGAGGAGAAAAGCGTGTTTATTTTCTTAATTAAGGGTGGAATTCTTTCTTAAACAGAGACAGGTGCGCAGGGCATCAACGTTAGATGTAAGCTTTTAATAATTAGATTACTCAGAACTTTTTCTTCTGCAGCCGATCAGTGATCGTGTTAAACACTGGGCGTTTGCACCGGTTTAACTGCAGGAGGTGAAACAGACTGTCTGAATGACGTTTACGTATTTTTCATTATGTGTAAAGTAAATTTTATCTAATTTTCCTTGAAAAGGTCTTCTATGAAGTCGTTCCTCTCTGTAGACAGATAGTTTTTGTGTGCCCTTAGAAAATCAAATAATCCAATTAAAAGTAGAGAGATGTTAGCTCATACAAAAGTCAATTTAAAAAATTATGTCAATTTTAATAAAATTATATTTCCGGTATTTCTTTATTAAATGATACAAATTTCTCTTTTATTTTTAGATTAATTAGGATCTTTTTTCTATCACTTCCAGCTGTTTTCTGGTATGACAATTTAAAATAATGTATTCGCTTCCATTTATAGTAGCTTTTACTGGTCAGTTTGTTGTTTATAAAGAATAAGCAATATAGTTTTCATTCCCAGTTATTCGATAAGAACATGTAATAATAAAATTTTTAAGAGCAAAGAAAATACATGTCCTCATGCAATATTACTCGATTTCTTGAATGCAAATACAAATCACTGTTCTTTATTTTCAAAAGTAGATACGAAATAAGGTTTTATAAAGAATTATCGTATTCCCTTGTGCGGGCTTTCTTGGTAATTTAGTAGCCCGTCCCGCCAACAACTGGTAGATCCATGGTTCGAATGCAAGCTAGTTGACTTTCATGTTTCTTTGCTTCTAAAGTTCCAATGTCCCTATATTTTGCCAAGCAAATTTCTTAAATCCTTTGACGTTAAATACATTACCTTATCAAATAGATGGTGCTTAATATAAAAATGACAATGAAATGGATGTCTTGGTTATTTCTTGTGTTAGTTGAAAAATTAGGTTTTGAAAGCCAGTTTTAATTAATTAATCAAATTTCCCAGTACTTCTGTCTCATTTTGGCTTCACAAAAATGCTAAATGCCCAATACTTCTGTCTCATTTTGGCTTCACAAGAAGGCTAAATGTCGCCAAATATTACTTGCCATATTTTTTCAGAGAGCAATTACTTTTGACGTGTTGCATTCACTAATTTTATTAAATGCAAGCAAAAAACAATAATAAAGAAGTATGCATGCCATATTTATGTTACCTGCAATAGCAACTACAATAAAATTAAATATTAAATAATAATAGTGTTAAAAAATGAACATGACATATTTAAACAGTCGAAGCCCACTATAACGAACCCGGCTTAATAATACCGAACCTCTGGATAAAAATGAAAGAAATTTTTGGATTCGTCCAGTTTCCTATAAAATTAACGTTATTTTGTCCTGCTATAGTGAGATTACAAACGTGGGAAAATCAGATATGAGAAATTATATTTATATCTTCGATTAAAACTTGAAACTTTTTGAGCTTTTCGTATTTTTTTCAGAATTTTTGCAAATTTTAACGAAACAGTTACTAACCTTTAAAATCCTCCCCGTTTAGGATGTTAAGATCCACATTTCACATACCATCTGTAAAGGAAAACAGCTTTACATTGCTTTTCTTTTATGTTCAACTCCACTTTTCTGTATTCTAAACAAAGGTTATGTGAAATAGATATGACATCCAATCTAGGAGAAGGAGGGCGCAATAAGCATATCTTAGGGCAGCATGTGGCGTTCTTCACATATGGTGAAAGTGAGTAAGTGCTTTGACTCCAATCAAATTCCTTGACTGATTTGTCTGAGTTGACTGAGTTGTATTTAAGAGTAATACTATGATAGAAAATTAGAAATTTTCACTAATCTGGTAAAAGAGGTAGTACTGAATCTTATGACTCTGGTTTATACAGTTGATTTGTGTTTTGGAGAATGAAAGAAGGAAAATTATTTTATGCCTCTTTTTTTTTTTTTTTTTTGGTATTAGTATAAATGAATACCCGAATTTTGTACTCCAAATTTTGTACTCCTTACCCGAATTTTTACTCCAAATGGAGGTCTTGCACTCTTCAGGTCTTCTGAAAGTCATAGGATATTCTTTACAAAAGTTTATAAGGTACTTCTCCCGCCGCCTTAGCATGCCTTCGTGGTGTAGTGGTCAGCACACTTGGCTCGTATTCGAGAGTCCGGGGTTCGAGTTCCGGCGAGGGCATTGCTCATTTCTTCAATTTCCTTACTTTCAAAAATACCTAATGTCTCTACAAGTTATTGAATTTTTCTTTTGCAACCATACATATCTTATGTAAAAGTTAAAGGTAAATAAGTTAAAGGTTAAGGTTCGAATCTAAGTGAACAGGCTCCCTGCATGGGAGTTTTCTTGGTTTTTCCCAAGCGTAACGTGTATACGAGCCAGCTTTCCTTAGAAAGTTCTCCATGAAGGCATCCCTCCCCTTAGGTAAATAGCCTTAGTGTTCTTTGCCATAATAAACTGAGCCAAACCATTCCGATCCCAGATGTTGGATTGCTTGTGCTCTACCATCCGGATGATGTTTTAATAAATTATAAAAATTGTTTACATTTATTCTCATATTGTTATTATTATAAACAATAAATAACAGTAAATATTCTTCCAGTGTTACCTTTTTGGAACCCACTGATCCTTTGTTCATGAAGATTGGAGTAAAATTCTTAAATACAGTAAGTTAAATCTTAAAAAGTTCATTTATATTTGACTCACATCTTATGCTTGTATTTTATTTATGTAGCTTCAAAACAATACTAGCAACTGTAATAATTTTCAATTTTGATTTGAAGCATGCTCACTCTAATCAAATCTGCCTGTACATAGTGAATAATGCATTTTTCTATTTCGGAAAAATAAATGCATTTTTAGAAAAATGTAAATGTGGTTGAACATAAGCTTCATTTCTCAAAACTCCTGAATTTATGATGTAAGTAATTTAAAATTCAGCATTTAAGGGACACGTACTTTTAAAATGTCAAAATATGCCAAGAATGTAACACATTTTGTCACTCGATGTCTTTTTAACTGTCTTGCTTGTGATGGTGAAATTTTATATACTCCTTTTAATATCATTGGTAATATATTTGCTATTTTTACTTTATATTCCAGATATTAAAATGTTTTAAGTAAAATAAAAATACATTACCTTCTTCATCATCGGCATAAAACTGCAATCGTAATGTGAAAATCGTTATGGATAAGCAAATTGTTATTTTTAAACTATCCTTTTTTATCCAATATAGAAAAAACATTAACGTATAATTAAAATGATTAAAAGAATCTAATTACATTTGCTTCAACATAACGTTTTTTACTTTTGAGACCCTAAAATCGGCTATTTTTAAGCATAAATTTAAACATAATTGCTAAACTTTTAATGCAGGGAGCAAAATAGTTGGATATTTTATACTCACTTAGGGTTTATACTATTTTAAAAATTCTAACAAACAGTTTCAGATAATTATACCTTTGAGAAATCTTAAATTTAAGATATAATTTTATTAACATTACTGAAGAAATGGAAAAAGATATAAGATATTCGTAAGTGTGTAAGTATGGCATAATTATATATTTACATATAGTGATATATATATAATCATCATAATTTTAATTGAGACAATGAAAACTGAAACGTCGAAATTTTCATATAATTTCAAATTTAATATTAGAAAACTTCTTATGCCAGAAGCACGATAATTGCCCATTTTATACAGATAATAGTGTTAAAATTTAGTTAGTTAAAATTCTAATCAGCTAGTTCATAGAAATTACACGCACAAGCAGGAAAATCCCGTTTTTATGAAATATTAACTGAAAAAAAGAAATTACCTCGACATTTTATAAGTAAATCATTTTCTTAAAAATTCATGAACGTACAGATAGTTATGATAAGTTAACTTTTCTAACACTATTTGAACAGAACTGTACATGGAAATTTTTATGTATAAGTTAGAGGGATTTTGCTGAAATGCTAATCTAAATCAACCAACTGATTCTTTTGAATGACAAAAGCTTAGAGCTATTGTTTACCATAACTTTGTTTATAGAGCAAATTTTTACGCATATTTTGTTTTAAATTGCCTGTAAGGAATCAAATTTTAATATAAAAGTATATCAGATTTTCAATTTTTGAATCTAAGCATTTCATACTTTAAAAACACCTGACACTTTTTTAACGCGAATTACATTCTGTCATCTATAAATTCATATTTAATTTTTTAGTTTACAAATGCTATGCTAAAATGGTAAACTTTTGAGAATCTAAAAATCTAAAGCATAATTATAACAACACTTTATTTACGATGTTGGCGAAACTCAGTTAATTTTTAAAAGAATGCTATTTTTAAATTAATTTAAAACATGAACTGTAATGTAAATTATACTGGACACTAGTTATTAGCATATAATTTTTAAAAAATAGGAAATTTTTATGTTATTTTTCGTTTCAGTACATAAAGGAATTTGGAACAAATCACATCTACAATGTGGATCTATTCAATGAAATGCCGCCGCCATCGAAGTAAGCATTTTTTTTTTTTTTTTTTTTTTTTTTTTTTTTTTTCCAATTTGGAAAACACACAGAACATTATAATTGTACTTCTTGTAGGAAACTATGCGAGTTTGAAAACTATACGAGCTTGTGAAAATTGACTGATTCATTTTTAATGAGCCTTGGAAGGGTACATGTTTATAATTAGGTTTCTTGATATGCATTTTTTGCATATTAACGTTATTAATGTATGTTACTGTAAATTGCTTTAATCAAAAAAACGTTCCGCACACAATTTATCTTTCTTTATACTGGAAGTTTTTCCTTGTTTATTAATCTGAATAATTATATAATTATGAATCGTTTACTTTAGGACATCCTTTACCATCTCTGTTAAATAGTGGAAAATGCAATAATACAATAACAGTGAACAGTGTCGCACAAAATCGGACATATTTTAAAATGATATATAAAATCAACAACTGGGCGTGTCTGAAAGCTGTTCCCATCTAATGTCTTATCACAGAGACAGACATTTTTGGGGTAAGGTATATTTTACTTTAAAGTTTTGCCCGACAGATGGTGGTATACCGTTAATATCGGAAAAATTATATTTAAGTATATTAAATAAATAGCAAAAATTATTTTAATTTGCATAATTCACTTTTATTTTAAAGATATTGTGCATCTAAGAACTTACAGTGGACTACTACATTCCTAGCAGTAATGTAACATACTCCCAAATATATAAAATAAATATTGCGTAATCTTAATTTTTCTTTTTATAATTTATAGTGTATTGCTAACAGCACTGTTTATCGATGAAAATATAAGTGATAATTTATTCTTATGCCCCTTAAAAATAATCGGGCTATAGTAAAAGTTTTCGGGTTCAACCACATTCTGACACCCTAATTTCTTTATTTTATATGAAATTTTTAAGAATCCAGACACATGGGACATCCAGTGAGTTTATGAGATTTATATTTTAAAATCCAGAACTTTTACTAAAATATACTTTACTCACTACTTTATCAAACTGACAAGTTCCCTTTTGCTTCTGTTGAAATTTATCCCTACGAAAGTATTAACTACATAAATAATACCAAACATCAAACTAAACTAGTTACTGAAGGCTACGATTTGTAAATATACTAAAGTGACCAGATGTCCCGAATAATATAAGGCAGCACCGCATTTCGGTGCAGTGTCTCCCACTTTAGAATATATCCTGGAAAATGTCTCATATTTTGATAATGTTGCTGAATTATTTAAATAAAACTGACATCAGTTTTGTTAGTGCCGCTGTCTATGGTCATAAAGGTAGTTTTGTGTTATCATAAATGCATTCAATTATAAGGTATTTCTCCCGCCTTCCTAGCGTGCCTTCGTGGTGTAGTGATTCTGCACACTGGGCCGGTATTCCAGAGGTCCGTGGTTCGATTCCCCGCGAAGGCGTTTGCTCATTTTTCCTCTTGCCTGCTTTGAAAAATACTGGATCTCCTAAAAAGCCCAGTCGCCCTATAAAAGGGGAAATATATAAGGTATTTCTCCCGCCTTCCTAGCGTGCCTTCGTGGTGTAGTGGTCAGCACACTGAGCCGTTATTTCAGAGGTCCGTGGTTCGATTCCCGGGAAAGGCGATTGCTAATTTTTCATCTCTCTTGCTTCCAAAAATCCTGATGTCTCTACACAATAATCAAACATGCCGTCCAACAGAGATAGTGGTTAGTGATTCTGACTGCAGTAACGAAGGGCCGGGTTCGAATCCCGGAGAAGGTGCTTCCCGGTGTTTGTAAATGCATAGCGTCTGTGCGGCGTAGGGGCACTCTAAATATGAGGCGAGCCGAAAGTCCCCTCGAGCGGTTGGTGGCAGAGAAAGAGGGGTGGGAGACCCTCTGACCCATTCCCCCAGAGTGCTCCATCAAAATTGGTAGCGGAACTGAACAAAGTCGTACTGTCCCCTGTATGGTGCTCAAGGCAAGCAAGACGTGCAAGACATCATCGCGGCAAGGCGTGCAAGACATCATCGTGACATTCATCGTGGCAAGGTGTGCAAGACAGGCGCAATCTTGCACGCCTTGCCACGATGAATTTCATAGGCTTGTTCTTTTGTTACTGTTAGACAAGTCAGATAAGTTACAACACAACAATAATAATCAAACATTCTTGCTTTCTATATAAATGATTTAAAGAGCTCCAGAGTCTTTAAAAAAAAGAAAAAACTAGGCTTGTGAAAGAATTTCTTTGGATTTCTATTCTAGCTGCTTTCCGTAATTGGCAGTGAAATTTAATTACCAGAAGAATTTTAATTATATTGCTTTTTGAAAATACTGTAGAATGTAAACGTATGGATGACAGCGCTAAGTTTTGAAAGAGAATATTTTGAAACAGGATCATAATCTGATAATAAATTATTCAGTGAAATGTTACATTTATAAAAATATGATGTACCTGAAAATTCAAACAGTTGTCCAAGTGTGAAACTGAACTTCAGAGAAACGACGAAAGATTTATCCGATTATCAGAACAAATCTGTAATATTAATAATCTGTAATATTAATAATCTGTAATATTAATAATCTAACTTACTGAGAACAATTGCAGTGACACAACGAATATTTAAATAATACTGTTTTTTTCTCATGTACTTTCCCCATTAATTTTACTCATTTTAGAGTCCGAATATGGAGAAGGAAAAATTATACCAAAAATTTAATTTCCAAAGGACGCGGTTACAGTAAAAACATTACAAATGAAAAGTAGTCATGTATAAACTGCAGCTAATTATCATAATTTTAATGCTTTAAATGAAACCTACATTCTAGTAAGAATACATAGTAATATTAACGTTACAATATGTCTTCATTTTCTGACGTCTTCATTTTTACTTCCCTGTACCATAAATCTCGCCCGTTCTTATTGTTGCCTCTGCCACTCCGTAGAACTTAAATCATTCATAATTAATTAGAGAAAGCAAATGTGCAGCTAAATCAGGGAAATCGTAGATTAATGTCAATTCGTTTTCGCTTCGCTGTGATTGGTGGGTTCTTGCATTAGGATGGCATAAAGTTCACTTTCGCAGGTAGTTTGAGTGGGTTTATCTTTGTTAGCAAGACAAAAACAATCACTACATAGACGAATCCATTTTTAAAATGTAAGGCAGCCCGTTTCCTGAAAACGCAGTGAGGAAGGAAAAAATTCCAATTACACTTTTAAATTTTCAAAACCTGGCGCTGGAAAGCCAGGGGAGGAAATACGACAACTACAATTAAACCTCTCATGACGATCACCTCCAGATATGGAAAGAGTTTTTAAAGAACGTAAATAAACACTGATACCGAACTTCATCGTTACTTATATTCTCTAAGACAACCATCTTCGCAGAAGACCGAAGTCATTAGAAATTGTATGTTCCGTTTGGGTGGTTTAACTACAACATGTGAGCAACTGAAAAAAAACTAAGCTTATTAATGGTTCTAAATAAAAAAAATTAAACTTCTAATAAAACTGCAATTTTCTTTTTTAAATTGCAAAAATTATCTTATTCCCCAGACTCTTCAAAAAAATATAGTAATATTAAGAGAATGGTCTCAAATTCGAGATCAGCGGAGCGGGTCACATACAGTCCACGAAGTATTTTACCCGGCCCGCGAATATATTTTCCGTAAATTATTTAGCATTGTTATGACATTAATTATGATAAAAATAATTTGAAAAAGTGTTTAAAATTTTGAAGAATAGTTAAGAAGAAAGCTTTGTTGTCCAGTATAACATTAAGTTCATTGCCATTCAAAACGAATGTAGATAATGCCCCAGAAAATCTGCAAATAGAGCTTATTTATTTACACTGCTCTAGAGTTCTTATTAACAGATTTAAAGATTAGAATTTGATTTTTTTTCACTTGTCAAAACAAAAATATAAATACCCTCAGTTACGAATTTTTGCAATAAGAATAGTTGCTTTGTTTGGGAGTACATTTATATGTCAGCAGTTTTTTTTTTCCGCAATTAAAAAAAATTAATAGATTTAAATATAGAGATTTTGATGTCCTTTAGTAGTTTTTTCAACTTATTAAAATTGTTTGAAATAAATATCGATATGAAATTTAATATTTACCTCTTAATGCGTTTAAATTACACTATATAACAATTAGAAACCTCTTGTAGGTACCAACATTAAGATGTCAGATAGTAAATGAACGTAAATTGGAATTTTTCCCTTTGCATCACTATTATTACTGACTATATATGTTTTGATAAATATTTAGAAAATAAAATTTTAAATTAACTTTGTTAAAAAAATTTCTGTAGCTAAAACCCTTTTCATTTCTTTAAAACAAAATTCTTCCCGTCAGTTGTTTCTTCGTTGTTATTTCCCTGAATTAAACACAAAATAATTATTAGAAACAGGTATAACTTTAACGGAGTGAAAATTTCACCAGATTTCTAATTAAATTAAAACTTTATTACCACCTTGGGTTCTGTAAATAGAAATAAAGGTTTAAGATGGCTTACCTACTGCAGGTGAGATAAAAATATGACCAGACCATATTCTACCATATTCACTACCAGGAAAGTTAACTAACTTAACTGCCATATTTCGTTAACAATCACTAACTACCATATTTACTAACAGAAAAGTTCAGTACTAAAATTTTATCACAAAAGTTTCGCTGAGTAGATAATCCTTGTTTCTAATTGCTACATCTTTCTCTATACTGACTTCCACTGCTTTGTTTTATTATTTTTTCTTATTATTCACTAAATATACAGACATTTTGCACAGATTTGGGTTGAAAAGGAGAAGTTATTTGTAGCAAAACTTAAACTAATGATTTAAATCAAAATCTTACAATGTAAATTTAAGTTTATAGTTTTTCATTTAATGTGTCATAAGGGTATTTATATGGTACAGAAATTATAAAATATGATTACAATTTAGAATAGAGAACTATAAATTAGCAAAGAAAATGTAAAATTGGAATTTTTTAATGTTAAATTATTTAAGAAATGATCGCTCAGTTGATAGTAAATTAATGTTTATAAGCACCTAAACCAGGGATTTCCAACCCTTTCCTTACATCGCATTTAAAAGAATGGTTTTCTTCATCGATCTCTTTGCATTTTTTTCTGTATATAATATACAGCGTGAAACATAATTATAATACAAATAACTGCATATAACTTAAAGATAACAATTAAACTAAGAATACGAACAAAACATTAAAAAATGGTTTATTAGATTTATGTTTCATTATTTTAAATTTTTATAAATATAAACAAGTTTTCAAAAACAAAATCACACATTCTCATTGATGAAATGCTCCCATTTTAATGAATCTGATGACTGAGCTTTATGTATTGATGCAATTTTTTTTAATATTTCACATAAAATTGCTTAAATTAATTCTTAAAACGTTTCTTTCAAAAATATTCAACCTGTTTCTTGTTTTCCGCAGTAAATTATTCACTTGACTAAAGCCAGAACACTATGTAAGAAGAGGAAAATGTCAATATTGTTGTTCGGTAACAACTTTTATTTTTGTGTATTTATCTGGGTTGAATTTATTTTCCAAAACTTAATGTTGCCATGTGTTTTGAACAGGACTTGAGTTTGTGTGATATAGCTTTATATCAATAAACAATTAATTATCAATTTTATTAATAATTTTTTGGTATTCCGTGGATTTTGATTATGCCTATCAGTTTCCAGTCAACGAGTCGATAGCCAGTATATTTGCCTATCGACCCGTTGATCATCCTTAACCTAAATTAATATCCCTAACCTCCTTTAAAATTTCCTCAACCCCCAGGGGGTCAATCCAGACCCGTTGGAAACTGAGCTAAATTATGCTTGCTACAAGCTTACCATATTAAGCATAGTTCTTACTCCTATAAGACTTTAGACATTTCGAGCTGTTTGGATTAAATATAATGAACTAAATTCCCGAATACTTACTTGTATTCAAAAATTAATTCAAAGTAGTGAATAAAATTGTTTTCAAAAATCTGTTGAGTGGCACATGCATTTAAAAATTCCTTAGTTCGTTAGTACTGACGGTGCAGTGTGAAAAATACTCATTTATTTCCCTTGATAGTTCCGTGACCAACTTTTATCAATTTTGTGAGCCTACAAGACTACTGTTATTTATCAGCAAGAATTTAAATATTCTGCTTTCAGGTTCTTAGTCAATATGTTTACATTCTGAATAATTTGTAAAAGCTTATCATCTTAAATGTTGCAATGATAATATTATTTTTATTTATTATTTTATCTTTGAAAGCATTGATTTAATCATCTATACCTTTTTCTTAAAGCGATGCAGTTTATTTACGGTCATGTGCTGAATCAGTGTTCAAAACTCTTGTAGCGGCCGATCCTAAAGCCATTTGGTAAGTGTTTATATCATGTTGTTTATTTTTCTGTAGTAAGTAAACGCTTAATTGCGATTTCTCATTGGGATAGTAGGAGTTTTGATGTATATGCCCAGTTAAGTGTAAATATTATTTAGTAATATAGTGCAGATATACATGGACCGAGCAAGGCATTTAGGTATTGCTAATAATCATAAATATTGTCCAGTACTTCTACAAGTATTTATTTCGTCAACTTGCATTTCAACTGGTTTCAGATTTGTTCCTATTGTTAATTTAAAACAAGTCCTGCTTACTCCCATGCAGCAGTCCTAATTTTATGTATTGCATCATCTCGTCTTTATCATTTATCTATATAATAATATATTTTATTGATTTTCTTGAAACTGTTAATGTATATGCTGTATCAGTTAGCTTTTTCCATTCATCTGCATAATAAAAAGTACTGTTTATTTTCTTGTACATTGTACTGTTTATTTTCTTGTACATTTGCATGTGCAAGATATGTTAATCCTGCTCTATATTTTTTTCTTTTCAGTATTTCTGTTTTGTATGTTTCCTATTCTATTTTTTCCTTATTATATTTATTATTCAAGTTTAATTTATTATCTTGCCACATTTTTTATTTTAATTTTTTTATTTATGAATTATTTATTATTCCCCCCTCTACCAAATGCTAAGGGCACAGAGCAATGTACAAATCACTGTGAATAATGTCAGAGACTAACGAAGCACGAACTTGTGCACCATGTAAAGCTTATGTAACATAACTGTGTAATCCGCAATGCTTGAAGTTACATGGCTGCGAATAATGTAAGGGCCTAATAAAGCACGAACTTGCGCACCATGTCATATTTTATGTAACATAACAGTGCGTAACCTGTGATGCTTGAAGCTACTTCAGTAAATGCGTGTCTGCTGATCGGATATGACTTTAATCTGTTAGGCACCCCAACCTTAGGTCGGATGTCATGTCGACGATGAGAAGTAGTGACAAGTGTCACTTACCAGTGCATCAGTCGTTAATGCTCAGAACAGACTGGAGGATCTTACATTTAACCTTCTGAAAAGTACAGAATATGCATGCATTCTTTGTTCATTCAAGTCCCCAGCATAAATCGAACTCCTAATTACCTCCTAACAGTTATGTGTTCTTCATGTTCAAACTGAAATATTGTTTATTACATTTGGCAAAGGACAACTCAGTGAACTTGATACAATACCAAGTAATGAAGATGAATCCAATGGCGGACCTAAACAGCTGACGACATGTTAAAACAGTTGGCCAACTGCGCCGTCGTCTGTGAAAAATCTTTGCTGCTTACTGTCCTGTTGGCCTGGTAGTAGGGAAGACGGCTGCCTTAGCCTTGGACCCGGGGGCTGATCCTGGAGGAGGTGGGGATGTTTGTAAGTGTTTGCAGCATAGAGAAACCTAAAATACTGCTGAGCCGAAAATCCTCTTGAGAGGTTGATAGTAAAGGAAGAGGAATAGGAGATCGTCGGATCCGCCTCCTGGGAATTCTCCACCGAACGAAGGTAAAATACTCAACAAGCGATATGCTTACCCCCAGTTGACTGGCCGCCCCCTCATCAGTGCAAAAGTGTCAACTATTATAAAACGCCTCTATAACATTTACATTATAGAATTTTGGAAGCAGCTACAACGCTTTAGTAGAAGTTAAGTAACTGCAGCTGATAAATAAACCATCACGTAACTGAGGATTATTGTCCCCTTACTTCGCATTTACAGATATCTGGATAAAAATGGTGGAAGCAAAAAGAATGGATTTTCGATAACATTTCTGTTGATGAATGACTAGCTAAATTGGCCCATAAGTTCTTGCTGTTGACAGAGCTTCTGAATTTATGTCGCCCACCAGCGACCGAGCGGTAAAGTCGCTGAACACTGGTAGTTCGGTCCGAGGTTCGAATCCCCCGAACGGGCTGGCTGCATGGGCGTTTTCGTGGTTTTCCTCATGTGTAACGTGTATACGGCCAGTTTCCCTTAGAAAGTCCTCCACGAAAGGCATCCCTCCCCTTAGGCAGATAGCCCTCGTGTGCTTTGCCATAATTAAATACACCAACACCAACTGAATTTATGTCAGTTATTATCAGTTTTATAAAACTTTAAAGGTAAATTTATTTACATCGATGTTTACTTTGTTCTAAAAATCTATCAAAATTATTGCTGTAAGGATCTATTCGGAAGAACTATAAATTTTGAAAATTCGTGTATTTTTCTATTATTTCTTTTAACAAATCTGTCATAATAGTATTAATACCTATCTTTTCATCATGTCAATTAAATAACAAATATTATATGTTGAAAAGTTTTTTTTACTTGTAATGAACTTTTATAAGCCTTTCTTGCCGGCGGGGTTTGACACATATGAGCCAAACTAAAATAGTTAAAATTTTCCTGCAACGGTAATCATAGTTGAGCACTAAATCACAGTTTAGACTTTGTGAAAATTACGTACAATATTTCTTCATTTGATGATAGATAGATTTCTTTAATCTTTTAATATTTTCTCATTTGATGATAGATAGATTTCTTTAATTTCTTCAATATACAGCTCGTGTATTAATCTTTTTGGGTTACAAATATTTACCTTCTTTAATCAGTGACATTAATTCCAATCCAGTTTTTTTCCCAACGTTTCAAAGTTTAATTTTTTAACTTTATCAAGTTTCATCAATATTTTCCTTGGCAGATGGTACTACGCTCCTCTTCGCTTTGTTCCGGTCATTGATTTCCGTATAAAATGCTTTTCGCCTTTCCTACATCTTGAAATCATTTTTTTCCTCCTTCTAAAAAAAGACCTATCTATATCTGATCACGCTCTAGAGTTTTATTTAAAATGCACACCATCTAAGGTTGCTTTTTTGTCTAGTTTCAAATAGTTTTACTATTTAATTCTTCTAAGAACAAAATTTAATTTTGGAAATCTTCTTTATTCTTTATTTATTTAAAAAATCTTTATTTTTAGATATTCTCTTTCAGAATTTAGTTTTTTATGTCATGAAAATCTCAATACTTTCTTTAAAACAGATTTCAAACTCAGATCAAGTTGATTGTATGAAACTTTATGATCTTGTTTCTTACTTATATCTTTGAAATTTCTCATCTTAGTCTTTTTGCAGCTGTATTTCAATGGCCCACCAGCGGCCGAGCGTTAAAATCGCTGAACACTGGTAGTTCGGTCCGAGGTTCGAATCCCGCGAACGGGCTGATTGCATGGGCGTTTTCGTGGTTTTCCCCATGTGTAACGTGTATACGAGCCAGTTTCCCTTAGAAAGTCCTCCACGAAAGGCATCCCTCCCCTTAGGCAGATAGCCCTAGTGTGCTTTGCCATAATTGAAGACACTTCCTATTGTACATAAAATTTCAAAATTATATCCTGTTTCGTTTAAAAAGTAATATTGGCAATTTGTAAGGGTCTCCAGAATCAAATTTAAAAGAACACTGAAATCATTATAATTGCATTTTAGGCCGAAATTGTATTAAAGGAAATGTATGTTGAGTTTTGATACTATTTCGCAATATTTTTGTTAAACGGTATTTTTTGTTAAAGGCTTCTCATGAATTTAAAGACGCAAGAAAATAATGAATATTAATGCAATTTAGTATCACTGAAAAATAAATGTAATTCAGAGGGATTTATAAACAGTTAAAGCGTTAATGATTACTATAGCTTTAAAACGAAACAAACCTGGCATTTTTTTTAGTTTTTCAACTGTAGAACAAGATGACCTGAGGATTAATGATTTCGATGGTTTTTAAGACGCACGAAACATTGATGACGCCGGTTAAGCTTTAATGGGGCAAAGGGCCACTTAAAGACTATACAGATTACGCCATTCATTAATGTGTTATCATTCTAATAAACAATGATAAACATTGTAACGTCTGTTTGTTCTGTCATGGGTCATCTAAGATAGTGGTGAAACTTGTCCTTTGTACTATAACTTCCAAAGTTAAGAACGTAGTTAACTAAAAGTATTTTTTGTAGCTGGAGTGTTGCAAAGAGATAATCATATCTGTCCCACCACAATAATATCCGCACACTTACGAAAGTAGTAAAAGTGTACGGCACTTTTAAATTCAAGCATGTAATGCTACTTTGACGTACACTATATTCAGAATATAGTGCATGTTAAGGCTGCACTACATTTATGAATTTAATGTTCCCCGTGGCGAGAAAAGGTTACAATATTAAGTTAAAGTGCTCTTTCATTGGTAACAATAATGTGTGCATCTATAAATAACCGTTCTTTCTTTTAAGATGAATATAACAAAAGTTATTTCTTTAAAATAGTTGTCCTCAAAAGTTAGTAAATTAAAAATTAAATAGTTATGTAAATTAAAAAATTAAATTATTACTTAATCTGAAATAAAAAGGAACAGCTTTTAATGTTTTAAGACAAAGAATCAAATTCACAAGTATTCAGAAAAGAGATCTTTATTAACCTCACAGTAAATTTTTAAAGAAAAATTGCTGAAACATTTCTATGGGAAAATTAGTTAAATATATGCTTTTAGATAATATACAATTTTAACGTAATTATATAGAATTTAATGTAAAGAAATGTTATTTTCTTAGAAGTTTGTTTTTATGTAATTAAAAAAGGGTGAATTTAATACTATAATTGATTCATTTCCAAACTTTTAATTTACAGATTTCAAAGGATAACTTATACTTTCAATTAACTTCATCTCTAAAAAATCACTTTATAAGGAATCATTGCATTCCGTGCACTCGTGGCCTAGGTGGAAGCCCGTCCATCTAACAACTGAAAGATCCGTGGTTTGAATTCCCTGGAGGGCAAAGCTTATTTTTCATGTGACCTGCTTCTAAAATATCTTAAATGTCTTTCTATCTTTGCACGGAATCAGTTACTTCAAAACTAAACTCTGGCTCCGTACAGAAAGACAAGCGACTTATCGTCCCATCCTAAATTTCTTGTAAAAATAATACCTATGAACTCAGAAAAAGGTTTAAAATAAAACTTTTATTAGAACTTCAAACTCATGCCTACAATACACAGCTCATTCAATATACAGCTCGTGTATTATAACATAGTCACCGCTGCTTGCGAGACTTAACGTAAAACTTAAGTGATTAAAGTATGAAGCTCACAAAGGAGAGCATTGCAAGCCCTCTAATCATGCTAGCAAACACGGTTAACAAAAGCAGGTAATCTAAGAGCTGGGCATAGATAGTACGGAGGAAGATGTAGAGGTCGCTTCAGAACGTTCTCATTAACTTGAAGGAGATCTGTTCTTCTTTCCTTTATTTCTTTTGCATTATGGCGAAAGTAGATGTGACGGTAAAGATAAAAATATAGTAGTGCTTCAGTATACGCCCGCTTTGAAATACGTCCAACTTCGTATACGTTCTGTCTGGACTCGAAAACATTTGTTTGGTGTACGATATTGGTTTCGAATACTACAATTCGAGTTTAATGAAACACGACTGCGCGCACTACACTTTTTTATCTCTTTCAAGACAATGCTCGACTGCCTGTGAGAGTCAGTGCTCCTGTTACTACAATTCAGTAAATAGACCGGACTATAACTCTGAATTTTTAAGTGGTGTTGTATTTTTTGAATGAATTTTTTGTACATTCATTAACAATGAGTTTTACGAAAGATAGGAAGAAGATCCAGGCAACGAAGAGGAATGTTAGGATCCTCATGGAGGGGGAAAAAAGAGATTGCTGAAAAGTATAAAGATGGCATGCGTATTCGAGACTTGTATGCTATTCGACTGGCATGCGTATTCGAGCTATTGCATACCGTATGCCGAGTTCAATGCTGTCTACGATTCTGAAAATAAAAGACCCTATTAAATAAGCCAACGTTACGAAGGGGGAGGGGGAAATCGATTACCAAACAAAAATCAGAGACGTTAGAATATGTTGAAAAATTGCTTTTCGATCTGAATAGCAGAAAAACATTTATGTACAGTATTATGCGCAGTGTTTCATTTACTTGCAATATATATTTCTCCCACTGCAATTTAGTATTGAACTGTTGTGTTATAACGACAATGATAGGTTTTTTTGTAAGAAAAGATTAATTATTTTCTATATTTCTTATTTCTTATTGGAAAAATTCATTTGGTATGACGTATACTGAACTACCACTGTGACAGGATAACGGATTAATAAATCCTTGCATTTTTACTTGTGCCTTTCACTGAGTGTTTGCTCCAAACCAAAATAACTGCAATACAACTTGAAAATTAAGAAACATTGATTTATTAACCAACTCTTGCGTCTGCAGCTTTAAAAGAGCGGGGGAAATAATATTTTGTTCGCTCAGGAAACTTAAGCCTTACAAATCAACATAAAATGGGTTAAATACATTACTACAGTAACATTAACCGAGAAGAAGAATAAGATAAGTAATTTAAACAAGCTTTTTATTTTTCAAAAAATTTAATAAATTAAACTTTTATGAAGCAGAATTGAACCCAGAACTAATCGAACTTACATTTCGTAATACATTTCGTACGGTTCGATTGTATACATTTCGTAATACAATCGAACTTACATTTCGTACAGGAGTTATTTATAATTATCAAGTTACAACAAAGTAATTCGTAGTTTAATTTCTTCTTTACTATAGTCTATTACTTTAAAATAGGTACTTCGAGGCAGGTGCCAGCCCCTCCCTGCAATCGTAATCCCTGCCGTCTTCGCTAAAAAGCGCTAATTTTCTCCTTCTAGTTTGAGATTATAGTTCGCCAAACTTTATTAGCATTTTCATGAAGCGAAACAAGCTAAACTGAAATAAAGTGGTTACTGAACTGAAATGAAATGCAGTGCTTTTCTTCTAAAGCACGAAGTTTATTGCTTTTTCGTGTAATTTTTACATACTTCTTATGAAGGAAAGAGGATAATCAATTACTTAGCTGCAACTGGCGACATTTATATTGTGATTTTAAGAAACAAGCTCGGCATTAATCACACTGTAGAGTCATTAGGTTATCTTGAAGGAAGAGACGTGAAAAATGTGCAGTGCCCTCGCAAGGACTCGAACCTTGGACCCCTCGAATTCGCGTCGAGTATGCTTCCAATTACGCCACGAAGGCATGCGGAAAGGAGGCAGAAAATACCTTTTTCTGTTTATTATAACACTTCTTGGTAATTTCTCTCTATAAAAGACATTTTTATCATATAAATATTTTTTTACCCATAAGACATTTTCATACTTTTGCAGGATGATTCAAGGATGGATGTTTTACTCAGATCCACAAATTTGGAAACCCCCTCAAGCAAAGGCTTTCCTTCAAGCCGTTCCTCTGGCAAGTATAAAATTTTATCCGTTACAGCTACTTCTTCCTATTTAAAATTAAGTTTAAATAGGAAACAAACAATTACTTAGCACAGCGTAATATATTTGCCTATTTAATTTCGACTTTTACTATTTAACCATTAGCAAATTAGAAAACAAGAATTCCTGTTTAAAATTCTACACGATAACTAAACAAAAGTTTAGAATATTTTAATTAGAGAACCGTCAGACTCATAGCTTTAAAATTATTTTCATAAATTCACCAACCTTGTTTGAGGAGACATCCTAAATGGAAGTACATAAATTTAGAGTCATCATTTAGTATATTTAAGAAAGTAAAGCCCTATATTCGTATTTTCCCCCACCTTTCACACACACACACATGCGTATCTTCATATTAATGCCGTTAGAACCAGAGATTTTAATACTTTTTGACTGGAGGCGGTAAAAATGTGCTTTCTGACTTCAAATGAAGAGGTTCAGGTAGTGCGTTACGTTACCTATTTTCAATTAATGTTTTCACATATTAGCTGTTAATTAAATAAAGCACTCTGTATAATACTAGATAACTGTTTATGTGAGTTGTTTTCTTATTTCTATTTCATTTTTACTTTCGTACGGCGTTTAGGAAATATTCATAAATAAATTAACATCTCAATTAAAGCTATTCTTTTTAACGCTGAGATTCTTCTTCAACTAAACTCTAATAAAGTCTAGGTTTGAGCAATTTCTTCGCTACAGGAATCAAAATCGAGCTTTCAGCAGACAGCCCTCGAAATGTTTTCCCTTCATTGATTAACCTTATACTTGAGCCCGATTAAGACACTAATTTTACTGTGATTAATTTATGTCTGCACTGTAGAACGATTTTAACTATCGATGTAAATATACTGGTGAGAAAAGTGAAACGATAACTTGGGAAGTTGTATTAAACAAAAACTTTTTAATTAAACATTTTATTAAAGTAATAATGTTTGCTGATTTGAAGTTACTGATGTTGTATGCAACATACTGATGTTGTATGCAACATACTGATGTTGTATGATGTTGTATACAACGAGTACAGCCTTCTCAATTAAAGAGTTTCTGGTACACGCAAACACATAGGTTTTTTGAATGAAGAAACTTTCTTTAAATATCCGAGCTTGGCCCCTCTGATGGATGGAAATACTTGAACATGATGATTGTTGGGTTATATTCTCCAGCTCATATTATGAAACTCAGTCCTACTAAAGATTTTTGTAAAGGTCTTAGGACGACGACTTGGAGCACGCTAGCCAATTCTCCAAAGCCTCTCGGATCTAAAGTTAGCTCTTCTGGAGGAAGCGACTGTTACTCCTATAATCTAATTCGCTCCATAAAAATACTCTGCATTTTCTTGCGCGAACATTTGTGCTGGTTATTTTCTACTCAGAATAAGTTAAATGCCATTACTCCTTTTTGGAATAATATGTATATTTCGCATACAAATATGTAGTATGCAATTCTGACGAATGTAAATTACCTTTAGCATTACGCAAGTAATGTTAAATTTTCTTTTCTCCTCTTAAATTTTGCATATTAGTGTAGCAACTGAAAGTTTCCAACCATCAGAAGATGTTTTTGCCCCCGAACTATTTGCAAACAACGTTGTACAACAGGATATACCACGAAATCACAAAAAAACAAAGAAGCTAGTTCATTTGTCAGAAATGAGTTCTGGATGAACTACCAATATTCAGCCGTGTTGTCCATTCAGCCACGGATGGCTGTATATTATTTTCGAAGCAAATGAAACCCTAATAAACTGAGAAATGTACAAGTGGTATACATTGTGCCACAAAATAAATTAGAAAACCCATATATATGGCAATCTCAATCAATCGAATTTTAATTCAACTTTTGAATTAGAGTTTTAGATCTACTGTTTTAATATTCTTGCAACATTTTTAATATTATTAAACTCTTTTAATATTATTTTCCATACGAAATATTTGAATATTTTTCTTCTATGATTAACAGAGAAAATTTATCATATTCTAATATCCAAATTTATTATCTTATTACATACCACATTTAAAAATATATAATTTAATTAGAGACGGGACGAATCCAAAATTCGCACTAACAAATTAAACGCAATGTCGTGAAAATGTTTTGAGGTGTCTTGAGAAAAAAATGTCTCCCTCAGTGTCCTGAAGTTGGCCTTTTATGTCAACAGAAAATGGAGGAGGAAAATTCTTTGTCTAGCAAACTTTAAAAACTTCTAGAAAATGAATCAAATAAATTTCGTTGTTAGTTGAGAAGCCAAAGTTTGTAACGCATAAGAATTTTAAGCAACGATTATTCTGCTCGAAAGTAATTATCTGCCAATCCCTTTGGACACTAAATGTGTTACACATGTCAAATCTGTCAGCTATTTTTAAACCATCTCTTACTAAACCACATAGAATACTCGCATAAAATTATCCTGTTATCCTATGAATTAGGCAAAATTGGGATTAATTAGGTAATGTTGTTGTGGTAAATTTTATTTAGCGAGGAGAAGTTTAAATTAGAAGTTCTAAAGTTTCTAGCACGGTAACATGGTAATGAGGACATAACAAAAGATGAAATCAAAATGTCATTTTGGTGGAGATTCAGTGGTGACTGGACTGGCTCGAATCTATACCTTGGCAGTCTCGGCACCGGGAGATAAAAACACGAGCCTTGCGTTTCCCAAGGACCTGTGGAGGAAGGACACTATCCCAACTTTTCACAAGTCTAGTAGCTTTAAGTCTCCAAACTTGAATATGAGTAGCGGAATAGCGTCCAGTCCTAGTGGCTGGTACCGTTGTCCTCTGTATTCTGCGTAAAGCATGGAAGCCGGGCCATCCGCGTTTTGCTAGGCAGCATTTTTAACTATCAGTCAGATCTTCGTACAAAAATCTTCACCCAGCTGTGGTCTCTGGTCGATGGAATGGTGACTCCGATTGACCAATTCAGCGATGGATTTAGGAGGATTTTTATGAAGTCCGTTGATCCTGGGAGTGTGTGACATTGGACCTCTGCAAATGCGTTCATTCTGTCACCATGGTGGCGTTTGACAGGCTTGCCCACCCCGTTCCTGATATCGGGGCTGTTCAGTTGAGACCCCGCGTCGTAGCTTTCATTAGCCGGGAACAAGTACTTAATTTACTTATTTATTCACATTTTTCTTATGTGCCATTTCTAAAGATAATCTTGGAAAATTAACAACCGCATTATTGCTTTGGTTTATTTTAATTACGGCAAAGCCCTCGAAGGCATATCTGCCTAAGGGGAGGGATACCTTCGTGGAGAAATTTGTAAGGGAAACTGACTCGTATACACGTAACACATGGAGGATAATCAGCCCTAAAACAGCGATTTCTGGTAAACTCCAAATAAAACACTGAAAATATAAAGACATCAATCATAAAAAAACAGGTACGGGAAGAGGGCAAAATAAATAAAATTAACATAAAATAAAAGAACTAATAGTAGGAAACCCAAGATGAAAATCTTAAAATTATATTCTAGAAAAAGCGATTACAAAATTTACAAAGGAAATATTATATTGAACTGTAGTAAATTTAAAAACAAGGGAGGGAATCCAAGGCATTTTTGCCTAACTTTGACTGTACTACCATCTCGAAAATAAACCTATTTGAAAAACAGAATAATTTGTGCGTACATCAGCACGTTGCATACATAAGAGATACAACTAGAAAAAAGCTTATCGCACGAAAATGCATGTGCTTATTATTAATCACACTTTAAATAACAGAGCATTTAAAAGCAATAAGATCTTTTACCGTAAAATTAAACAATGCGCCTCTCTAAGCGAAGCAAATTCATTAAATGAAAGCAAACAAAATAAAATAAGAAAATAAACTTAACAAAATAAAATATGAAGTTCTTATTTTTAAGGGTGCACTCTTGAGACATTTGTTATTGTAAAATAAACCTTTTATTATTTTTTTTTAAAGTATTTAAAGCATTTTTTCTGTGTTTTTGCCAGTTTGCTTTTTATTTTATTTGAATCTTACAGAAGGGCGCAGAAATATTATATTTTTTCATTTTTTTACGTTAAGCTCTATGTTTAAAGAGTCCTTAATGATCAGAATTTATTTACTTGCTTTGAATATTTATGAAGTTTTTTGCTTTGAAAAGGCATTTAAAATTGCTCAACACTTTTTTTTTTCTAACTGCTTTGGTATGACAGCAAGAGAATTTTAGCGGCACAGAGAAATTTAATTTCTTTGCTAGAAGATCAAGGAGTCTCGGAGGGGAAAAGTATTTAAAAATCAATTGGTAGGAAAAAAGTATCTTCTGTTAAAGAAGTTCTGAAATGAAATATATGTGTGATATATTTACGCGTGTCACACTGAATAGCAGCCGAGTTACATTTACCTGTGTGTGTGATTATGGCAAAGCCTCGAGGGCTATCTGCCTAAGAGGAGGGATGCCTTCGTGGAGGACTTTCTAAGGGAAACTGGCTCGTATACACGTTACGCATCGGGAAAACCACGAAAACGCCCATGCAGCCAGCCCGTTCGCGGGATTCGAACCTCGGACCGAACTACCAGTGTTCAGCGATTTTACCGCTCGGCCGCTGGTGGGCCCAGCCGAGTTACAAAAATGACCATATGTTCACAAGGAATCAATCATTTCGTTACATCTATTATTAACTTCAATAACCCATTTCCGTACAAATTAGTCATCGAAATATGTTGACATAATTTACAAAGACAAGTTATACTGCATTATGTAGTTTGGTAATTCATTGCTTGTACTGATATAAAGTCCGTGTGTCCATAGGTATCAATGAACACCAATAACAAATGCATACCGATATGAATAATGATTCCCATAATTAAGATAAAATAACACGCCGAACAAGTATTAAATTTACTAATTAATTAATTATTTAATTAATACTTATCTAATTACTATATCTTATCTCGTTCATTCTAGTTGCCGTATTTCAATGAAACTTGGTATATACGTTATATAGTTCATGTGAAAGAG